GATGTGTATAAGAGACAGATATATATATATAACTTTAATTGAGGTAAAGAAAAGCATTGGTATAAAATAGCCTTTCAAATAAGGCAGTCGTTTACTTGCTGTGTCAGCAATATGTCTGAAAGAAAAGGCATGCTCCGTAACCTACATTTCAAAGGTCACCGTGCTACAGCTCCAGGCTTCTGAAAATCACAGTTCGAGCCAGCATCATGGTTGGTTTGAAGATTTGGTCTGTTTTGCTGGTTATACTATACCGTTTCTGTCAAAGATGTATCCCAAGTGGAATTTCAACACATGTTGAAATAGGTAAGACATGTTCAGAATGAATTTTCCTGTCTTTGAGTTGGTTGGGAAGAGAAGTAAATTCAGATTCATCTGGAAAGCAAAGGGAGGAAATAAAGTCATAAGCATTCTACATCATTTTAAGAAAATGTGAGTAACACATAGGGTAGATGAATAGTTTTGGTTTGGAGTTTGAAACTTTACTGGTTTTATAATCAAAATGCTTGAATCAATTTGGTTGCGCAGTTTTCCGTCTTCTAAAACATGGGCGTTATGTAACTGGAGTGTTTGTGAGTTTTACGCAGGCAGGGTTTGGTTTGGAGAAAGAAGAGGAATACTTTACACAATTTGTGTAATCCTTATATTTAAACTAGAAAATAACACAATCTGTGGGATCTCTGTTTTTCAATCACCATGTATTAATTTTGCCATACTTGCATAAAATAGATAAATGCTCTAATGTGTTTGTATCTATGACTAACATCATCAAAATGTTTTTCTGTGTCTCTTCCTGGTAGGTTGCTATCTGTAGCCTGAACAGCCTAGATTTGTAGAGAAAGAAGGAAAGATCTGGGTGAACATCAAAGTGGGGAAATATTTCTGGTTTGAATTTCTTGTTTGCATGTGTTATTTTTAAAATCTGGTTTCTGCTGTAGTGCTTGCGGGAACACCCATGAGTAGTGTGAGGTTATTCTGAAACATTTACTCATAAAAGATTGACAGTTTTAATTGTTTGTTCTTCTGTTTCTGATTCTAAATCCGTTGCTCAAACAGGTCGTAAAACATATGATGTTTTCTCTATTCAGGTAATCTTCTCAGACTTTACTGAAAATGTGCAACTTTGAACAAGTTAAATGCTGGGGTTATTTATGGCATTCATTTGAGACTATATTCCCTTACTAAGTGCTCTATCCTTGGTCAGCATCCTGCAACCATTTGCTTTTCCTAATGATATGTGAAGAAACCCCTATTAATCAGTAGGAGAAGTCACACTGCCTGAGTTAGGCAAGCACACACATCTTTGGAAGCTCGGGGCCTTAATTACTGAGTATGAGCTTCTGAAAACTTGAAATAACAGATTTGGCAGAATAGACTGTATTTGCAAGAAATGTACAAAGAGAAACAAGAGCTTATGGATCTGTCCCAAAGCAGTATTTTTTTTTTTTCTAATCAAGGAAGCATATTGCAGAAAACCTGCATTTATATAATTTAAAGATCTTGGTTGTCCAAGTAGTAGTGTGTATACTGAACTACTGAGTCATAGGTTACAACAAATCTTGTCCATTTGTCTGAAAGTGACATTAAACAGGGATCAGCTCTGATGCTGCCAAAATTGGTGCTTTTATTAATGTGCAAATAAAAGTTCATGATGATAAGATACTGAAAGTTATTGCCAAATCCAAACACTTAGTATTCCAGGAAAAAAACCCAATGAACTGTAGAAAGGACCTCCTCCGACTCAAAACCAGCACCAAAGTCTATCGTGGACAGGCTTCTGAAAGTACTTTGAAAACAGTGAAAAGCTCTGCCTGTTCAAAATGTTGATCATGTTCAGTGTGCTCGGCAGAACTCTGCTGTGTCCTACTTGTCACAGCCTTGTTTCTAGAGACAGGTCTGAGTGGGGATGCTCTTCCCCTCCCAGTGGCTCCCATCTGACCCATGGGGCTCTGTGGAACTGTGGAGGATCTATTGCAAATTCGTTGTAAAGGTGAACTGGACCATGTGAGTAATGAGAGAAGTTGGGGGGGATGGGAGACAGAAAAATTGCCAGACTGAGACTCTCCCATGCCAGAAAGAGATGTGTGTTGAAATGGCTGAACCTTAAAATGATAAGACTGTTTTTAATTGTTATTTTTAAATTATCCCTGTTTTGGTGCAAGGTTGGTCCTTAAGGTATCTTAACATATTTGTAGAAGGATGATTTAGATCAGTGGGTAAAATTCAAAGTGAAAGATCATTCAAACCCATAGTTTTGTCTAGATGTTATTCCAGAATGAGTGGGTTTTTTCTGTCATGTGATTTATTTGTTAAGGATCAAATTAAATTCAGCATATTCTGTGTTATTCTATGTTATTTTGATCAGTTTTAGCTTCAAGTGAGGAGTAAAACTTTGTGTGGGAGGGCAAGATGATAACCCATGCATGCAGTTTCAACCAAATAATTTTAGTTGGGTGTTTTTTTAGAACAGTGTTAATAGATTATCCCTGGGATCTAACATTTATTAGAAGGAGGCTTCATTACAGAAAAATTATGTTAGTTTGTTTCATTCTCTTGTTACGATTGCTCAAGAAATATATTGGCAGTAAAAATGTTTGCCTATTCTCTGAATAAATAGTATTATTTACCTTGCTAACTTTACATTTATGTTGGTTTTCATACATGCTAAAAATGAATCAAACTGTTAAACATCACATTGATTCCTGAGATACCTTTTTCAATGTTAAGGGCAGCAGTGAAACTTAAATACAATTCAGGTGGGTCCTTTACAGCTGAAACTTTATGACCCATACTCTATACTTGCTGGGTGTGATTGTGTCAGTTCACTGCGGTAGCTCAGTTCTGCATGTGGGGAGTTCCTTTTCCCTGCGATTTCCTCTATGTTGGTCAGTTTGGGAGCTGGGGATTAGAGAAGAACTAATGAGACGTCAGTGCCCAGATGTGGTGCAGAAACAACATTTTCTTATTAGCTCCTGAGGTGAGAAAACACACCCTCTCATGTGTACAGAATTTTTTTGAGAAATCGTGTCTCATGCACCTGTGCCGCTTGGCTTAGGTATGACAGTGCGGCATGTTCTGATTTCGATAATGCTTCTAACAAAACACAAGCCTGGCCACTGTACTTATAAATCAATACTTCCATATCTTGTTTTTCAGCACATAGAGCTCTGGAATTTTTCATTAAGCGTGAAGGGAATGTTAATTATAGACAGGTAGGAAGCCTATTATTTCTGAATTGTGTACACCTTTCTTCTGAATGTTTTTCTGTCTGCTTGCCTTTATTATTTATTCTCAGTAGCATGTGTGTAAATATTGTGCCTAGACTGTATTTTTACCTTTTTTGTTGAAAATCATTTGACTCCATCTGAATACTATTAGAAATACGTAGCAGTTATTACAAAGTGTATGTACTGTGTGTGGTTTCTTGCATGTTTTCCCATCTTCTTAAGTCATACTCTCCGTGAGTAGTTGTATTAGAAGAATCAGTAGAGGACTTTTGGAAAGGAGATTTAATAAACATAAGGACAGCAAAGTGACAGCAAGGTTTTCAATTTAGTCCACCACAGATATCATTTAACTGATTTCTGATTGGTGCAAATAGCTTTTCCTCTCATGGGCTGTATCCAGCAGAGCTCTGTAAGCATGTGGACAGTTTTCATAAACACACATATAAAACACATATGTGTTTTGTGTTTAAAACATTTTTAATAGCTTTTAGGACAGTGTAAAGATATATAACTTGATCTTTTATCAAAGTAGGAGATCACTCAAGGAAAATGTTAACATTGTCTGCTGTAGACAGCTGTGCTGTGATTCAGAGGATGGAAGTTAGCAGCCCAGGCTTCATGTCTAGTCCAAGAGGGGGAGGGCACCTTCAGGAGGTGACTTCACCAGCACCCTAGTTAGATCATATGAAAACTTTCCTAAATGGCCTTTCAAAATGCAGTGTACGCTGATTAGTTTCAGTTACAAGGATTTGGACACAAGGAAGGGGGAATAATGGGGGATGATGACAACACTAAAATAACATATTTTACCAAGATAATAGTTGTATCTTGATGGAAACTTAAATTTTTTCTTTGGTATTGGCAGTAAACTGTGGTTTTGTGCTGTGCATTGGAATTCTGATTCCTTTTTTCCCTATTCTCTCCCAGTTACTACTAAACCACCAAGATGCATTTCAGGCTGGGAGCATTTATCCTGATGCCTTTTATCCTTCAATCTGCAAAAGTGGTAAGAAAAGCTTTATAAGTCCAATATTGTAACAAATGTATTTTTATGTGAAAATCCTACAGAATTTGGTAGGGTTGAAAGTAGTTATGTTGTAAGAAATGAAGTGTGGCCAAAAATACTTCCTGCAAAAACATCAACCACTTTCATTAGTATTATGATCCTTTTTGTGGAACTTCATAATAAAACAATACATTTGAAAATGCTTTTAGAAAGTAACTTTTGGGTAAATTTAACTATTATCACGTGTAGGGCAATCTGATGGAAGAATGCTGTTTGACCAAATTAGGTCAGAGTACTGAGTACTGTCTTGGGGAGAAACCGAGAGGACAAAACGATCTGTTTTCTAAGTCTTAGGGAAAGCCTGGACCTAATTTCTATGCTAGAAAGTATTATTTTCTATCAGATCAGTCACAAAGATGATACGAGAATATAAAAAACCTCATCACACCAAAACAGTGTGATGAATTGCTGGGGGGTAGAAGTGTTAGTAGCATCCCAGTTTAAAGCCTTTCTTTTCCAGACTGCTGTATTTTGCCCTTTACTGGTTCCTGCTTGAAATTAATGTCAGTCTTAGTTTTGCTTCTTGCAAATCTAAAGACTACACTACAATATTAGCACCCTGTTGCAATGGCTGTAAAAAGTTTATCTTTACTTGAAGGTGGTGTCCTGATTTTTCAAC